CAAAACATAGAGAATCTTTTTTGCCTTCCCGGTATTATTTATGCATGGCTGCCGTTTAGTGAGACTATCTTCGGAGTCTGGTGCTGGTTTTGAGAGGCAGTAGACCATGCAAGGGCAGCTGTTCCATAAAGCTGTCACGTCCAGGACTGCGTTGTGTCACTGACCAGCAAGCACGCGTGTGGAGTCAGGAATTAAATCCAGATGTTTAATTTGTTTAAAATCAGGGAGAAACATTCAAACCGCGACTTGCGGGAAGCAAGTAGAAAGTGTGGCAAGAAACCATCATTTATCAGCAGTTGCCTATCAGCCTGGGGAAAATGTTGCATCTTATATGTAATTGTCAAACAGAAAGCAGTACAGGCTAGATGTGCGTCCTTAGCTGCTAAATAATTATTTAAGGTCCTGAACAGCCTAGCGCTCCGTTACAGTGAAGCAGAGTGCTCTGGTACTCCTGGGCGATCAGGGCTGCTCTGGCATGCTGTGAGCACACCACCAGCATGCAATGCAGGCATTGCTCCAAGGGGCAACCCTGCAGCAGTAGTCTTGATATGAAATATCTTCTTTATGTGCCTGTTTTCACAGATCTGAATTCCCTGATTGTCCGTAACGCATATATTAGTTCGCTAAGGAACCCTCTGCAAATTAATGAATCTTTCAGGCTGATCCCCAGTTACGGTTGCAGGGATAGTCAGCTCCCTGGACAGAGAGGAGAGAGAGATCTCCTCTTTAAGGCTGCCTTGACGACGGCACTCTCCACCTTACGCAGCCCCAACCCATCAAACCTCTGCCATGACCTCAGGGTCCAAACCAGCCACTCTCCTATAAAAACGCTATTCTGGCAGACAATGACATGACCCCATCACTATCTTGGGCACTAAAGAACAGGTTTCTATCAAAACACTCAGCATATTGGGTAAAAGCTGAATTTGTTTGCAAAAAATATCTTGCCGACGTGGGAGCTGTACATGGAAGGAACATTTTACCAACTTGAAAAGAAACTTCTTCAGTGTATAAAAGAGCTCCCGGATTGTAATTTGTTATAATTAAAGTAGATGAGGTTGATACTGGAAGGAGGCAAGCCAATTAGTTTGGGACGTCAATTTTTGTTTGCCACTGTCAAAGTCTGTTAAAGGAACTTGATAGATTGCTGGATTGGCTTTTTCAAGCAGATAATCCCCACAAGAAAGACAAGCAGGCAGCCGGATGCGGAGAAGAACATCGCAATTGCCGTTGAAAAAAGGCCACACCTGCCAATGTGGTGCTCGGAGGTGACAAAGGTGTTGCAACCCCCGAGCTGTGGACAACTGGATGGAGAGGTGAAACTCAAGGTCCAAACATGGAGTAGAGCCCTGCACGACAGCTGCAAACAAAGAAAGCCTGCACTCAAAGTTATTTGAAAGAGACAGGCCACCAGTTGTTTGGGCTAAAATCTGTCATTTTTGAGGCAGGACTACAGGCTTTTGAGTGCTCCAGTTATGTGTTCCCAGGTTTCAGACAAGAAAAGTTAGTCTTGTCACATGCTAACCAGCTCCCATAGCTTCAGACTATAGTGTCCTTATTAATATATGGTAAATACAATCTTCTTAATAGGCTCTACTACACTATTGAAAGAAAGCATGTGTTAAATAAAACCAGGCCTGATTCCCATGGTTTTAACTGATATAGCTCTGTTGAAAATCATTTATAGTAGCTAGTGTCATATCCTAGCACTAAAAAAAAAAAAACCTTCAGCAAATCCAGGCTATGAACTGTTTCATTTCAGAGAGTTCTTTCAGATCATACTCAAACTTAAAAAAATTAATTTATTTCTGTTTTTTGTGTCAAAAATCTCTATGGATAGGAAACAGATGGGGGCATCAGCCCAACCAATAATGCCTCCAGCAACACTAGAAATTGTAATATATAATCACTCTATGTCACTGTACCAGGCAAAAATATGTTCATTTATCGATATAGTTCCTGTTTTCAGGTCGTGAAGACATCAGCTGCTCTTTTACAAAACTGGGGGTACCTGGCTCAGTCCTTAGTGAACGTGTAGTGCCATGTTTCTGCAGCCGTATCTCCAGTTTTGCTGTCAGTCAAAGTACCATTGCAAATCTGATTCTCTGTAAAACTTGAATTAAGCAGAAACATGGAGAAAGGAAAAAAAGTCTAAAAGTTTGAAGGACAAATCTTCAGCTACTCTAAGTTGTTACAGCATGACTCATTAATGCCACCAGAACAGTTTATACCAACTGATAATCTGCTCTGAGGTTTTGGGATTGTCAGCAAATTCTGTTTTGCAGTACAGACCTAGTCATTTCCTGAAATTGCATGTCACAGTTGAGCTTAAGAAAACTATCCAAGTTTATTCAGAAAGCCAACACTTATTTCCGATGTAGCTAGCTGATCTGGGACTCTCCTAACACCTCACTGAAACTACGTGTTGTAAAAATAAAGGAATTATTGCTCAAGGCTCCCTACAAAAATGTTAGCCAATATGTTCTACTATATTGGAGAACACAGCAATTAACATTCAAATCCATTTATTATTCTCAAGTTTTCTTTCCCCAACATGTACAGATTGATTTGTACTATTTTTTGTATCTCAATTTAGAAAAGAACGACAGTTTCCTTCAGCATTGCAGCATTCATTTTGGTTTGTTCTAACGAAGACAAATTCCTCTCAATCAGGATCGTTCTGTTCATTAAGTGAAACAGATGGCAGACTCGCTGTATTGGTAATGATTCCGAGATTTTAAGCGTATTTGGGTTATACTGGTTTGCGTTCACCAGCTAAAATGTGATCGATATTTCAGATGGAAGAGAAGTCAGGTTCTGCCTTAGCAGAATTTTTGTGGCATGTACACGATTCTTCATTAGCAAGCTGAAAACCTGAAGGACTCAACAGAAAGGCAGGGTTTAGACCTGTTTAGACAAATTTGTAAAACACGGTCCAGCAGAAAGTGTCTGTCTTGGTAAAAAATTAAATACACGCTTCCAAAGCTCTGCCAGAACAGAGTGTGAATCTGTGCAACTGGTGGGGATGTAGCTCTCCTTCCCTTTCCTCCCGCCTGGTCCTGAGGGTAGCGCTGGGTTTGGTCAGAGGCCTTTGATCTGCCTGCCCATAATGATTAATGCAGCAAAATTAATGCAGAAATGTAAAGCCCAAATGGGAACCACATTGGTCACAGGAATCATCATGCTAGATGCCCACATCCTGATCCCTCTCTGTAATTGAGAAAGTTGAAACAAGGCAGCTTCTGGATACTGTCAGACCTGCACTCAGATATCCCGAGCTCTGGAGCTGTCACAAACACAGAGGGCTGCAGGCACTGCCTTGGTAGACATCGTCACTGTTCGACGCATCATATACAGAAATGAAATAATCTGTCATGCTAAGCTGAACTGAAATATTACAGAAGTCGATAAAAATGTTTTCACCTTGTTAAAATATTACAGCTATAAAGCAATTCACACTGTATCTTCTTCATGATGCCTCAAAAATGATATTATTCATGTTAGTTTTGTGAAAAACTACCTGGTTTTTAGTGCTGAGTTCTTCAAGATGGAAGAAACCCAGTACTTTGCAGTATTGTAGATTATAGGGGAAAAGAGTGTATGAGGGAACACACAAACACACAAGGACAGATGGCATTATTTTCCTACAAAGCATCCCTCTTTTTGGCACAGTCTGACTTCGCACACAGAAACATACCATTTGAGGTATATCCAGTCCTAGGAATACTGAGAAAGGGTTTTATTTAAGCTGTTGTTTCCATTGACTTTGTCTTAACACTTACTTCATACTCAGTTTCAGCAAGGTTAACCTGTACTCAGATTGTGTTTTCTCCAAAGACAGTGAGGTCTTTGATTTAACTAGCTGGGAAACAGGGGGATACACCACAATAGCCCGGTCACCTAAAAATGATAGAGACTACCTCCTTTGTGTGTATGAGCATCCCCATTAGGTTTGTATCGATAAATTACGCAAATAATCTTTAGAAGGGAAAGAATCAAGACAAGACTTTTTCTAGCTCTCATCTGCTCAGGCTTGAAAATACATGATTCAAGAGAAGACCGCAAATTTAGGATCTAAATGTTGCTGGACCAGAAATTACTAGCGGAAGACTGTTTAGGATATTTATGAAGGAACTTAGCGGACCTCTGCTTAGCTTCTTGTGGAGAGGAGATACACATATCGGAAGGAACGTCCTTCCTGAGAGCCCCAGCAAAGAAACCATAAAATGAGCAAGCGCACAACCAAAAACAGCCCCAAAACCCTGATGAATTTTCTGCTGAATGCTGAGGCACACAGGCTCTGCAGTGAGATGTAACTCTCTGGGGCATAAAACTGTGCACAGCACTTCATACAGTAATTAAGAAGAAAGAAACAAAGTGTTCTGTTAAAAAGACTGCCAGTTCCCCAGAGAAAATAGTTTTGTGTATCACTTTATGCTAGTGGTGACAGAATAGAAAACAAAATACCACGGAGTTACATACATGTTCTTTGTCTAGAAGTATTTACAAATAACTTTACAAATTTTTACACACATTTTCAGGTTTGCTTGTTCACTATTAAATTAAGAGCAAAATTAGTCCCCAGAGGCTTCTAAGGCTTCAGTTGGTGCCTTGCACTGTACATTCATGCTTGGCTTCTTCCTGGGAGAAGGGAGGCAAAGGGTTTAAAAATGTGCAAGTCACAGACATCTGAAGAGCTCTGGATGTAAAGGTTCCTAGAGACCGACATCCATAGAGCGGTCGTCCTACTTCTCTTCAAATCAGAGACAGATAGTGGTGGTGGGCAAAAGAGATTAGGAAAGGAGAAGGAGCCATATATGAATTGCAGTAATTAGATGAGTACATTAGTGCTGGAACATCTGGGTAAGAAGAGTCATAGATCAATTCCTACTGCATACAGCAGTTCAAACAATGCAAGGAGTGGACAATGTGATTTCAAAATACAGCACTGAAATGATCTCTTGTACACTGTTAGGGTTTGACTCCCGCTGCCTATTTTGGAGTCAAAATTACTGTTTACTGACACAATCTTGACCAGGCACAGTATGATTATATCAGTCCAAAAATACTGACTTTTTTGAGAAAGACGCACCTTTCTCCTAGTTTTCACAGGTTGTTTTGTTTTCATGCCTTAACACTAAATGTTGTAAAAATATTGAAATTAAAAAAGAAAAAAATTTACAATTTACAAGTGTCCATATAAGTAAATTATTCAAAAATTCAAGATCATCTACAAGGATCTACGAAATAACGATGCTGATAATGACACTGAGCCTGTGGGAAGAACAATCCACATGCCGTGAGAAACGGATGGTGGGTTTCTTCCAGAACGATGAGTCACAAGGGTGGTCTTTTCTTCTAAAATCTGTTGCTTCAGCTTCAGCTACAGCAGCAGAAGTCTTGAGTCCATATTCATTACTTACTTCGACCTAAAAAGCAGAATATAGGAATTACAAATTAAAACCTATTCTGTTTACCTTCTAATTTGCGAGATGTAAATTCACATCAGCTTACTCGTTAGTGACTAACGAGTAAGTAGTGACCTCTGGTCACTAATTTCCTCAGCTGTAAGACCCACCTATAAGGTCAAGAATGAATGGCTAAGGACAAAGCGGTAGCTTTGTATTGTTGTACCACAAAGGTAAAAAACATTTGGTGAAAAAAATCCCACAAGTGGAGAAACATGTCTGAAACTCACATAATCATAGATTCTTTTTAGCATAATATATTCTAACAGTGTAAGATGTATTTTCACTAGGTGATAAAATTCAGACATGACCTGATTACAAATATGTGCATCTGAGCTGGACTCACACTATTTGTAGTCCTCACCACAACCATAGGCCTGCTGAATCTATGTATTCTCACATGACTCCCTGTAAACCATGTTCACGTGCATGATCTTGGAAAATCTATGATGGTCTTTCATAGCAATTTTACACTGGGTAGAGTCTCAGGAGAAGATACAAACAGGACGGGGCCACACAGACCTATCGCGGAGGGGTGACCTCTCCACTGCCAGAGTTTCTCAGACGCTGAATCAGTCCCATGAGCAGAAGTTGGCAATGTCCCTAGAGATGGTAGGGGCATCCCTAATTGGAACTAGGGATTCAGCATCTGTCCAGACAGGGTTGCACAAAGCTATACTAGCACTGGTTCAGACATATCCAAACAAGAATAAGGCACATGTAAACTTTAACTTCTGCAAACCACTAACAATAATAATGATAAAAAAAACAAACCACATTTTTTTTTCCTTCTAATCCCCATGCTTTTCTCTTTTCTGTGTAGCCATATATGAAGCAATTCTAATTACTAACAAGAGACCTGACTGTTGATACTTGGCTTGAAATAGAGGAAAACACAACAGTCGTCTTTATAGTCCATGTGCCTTAGTCACAGTGAGAACTTGATGGATTTTTTTCCACTCACACTCTGTTGTCTCGTGCCTGACACACATCTTAACTGAAACTGTGTTCAGGGCAGAGATCCTGCTTCTCCTTGTCTGGTAGCCTAATGGAGTTGTAGGCAAAATGAAGAGCAAACAGACAAGCTATGATCATTCATATTTGCATTAAAAAATATTCCCCGTGAGAACAAGTTCAAATTTAACCTCTTCTCAGGAGTGAAAAGGAAAACTAATCCTAGACTTGCTAATCATTAATAATTATATCAGCACTAAGCAGACATTATACTGAATATGAGTACTCACCAAAACTAGAATGCCTTCTGCATAGTTTTGATGAGGCCACAAGACCTTGTGTTTTCAATGGGCTCTGTTTAGTTAATTTATGAACTAAATAAGGGAAATAGAGGTGGTGAGGAAAAGGGAAATATAGCCAAGCTTTCATCTATAACAAGCACCGCTCTAATTTTTCCCATGAGTAAAGTGGTAAGGATGGCAAGAATCTGTAACCTTTATTAAGACTTTGAATGTATCAAACAAGGACAATTAGGGCTACAAAGATGATTAGGGGGTTGGAACATCTCTCTTATGAGGAAAGGCTGAGGGTCTTTTTTTTTAGTCTAGAGAAAAGAAGACTGAGGGGGGATCTTATTAACGTTTATAAATACTTAAAGGGAGGGTGCCAGGGGGATGGGAACAGTCTTTTTTCAGTGATGCCCAGTGATAGGACAAGAGGTAATGGGCACAAACTTGAACACAGGAAGTTCCATCTTAACATGAGGAGGAACTTCTTTACTTTAAGGGTGGCAGAGCACTGGAACAGGCTGCCCAGAGAGGTTGTGAAGTCTCCCACTCTGGAGATGTTCAAAACCCGCCTGGACACCATCCTGTGCAACCTGGTGTAGGTGACCCTGCTCTGGCGGGGGGTTGGACTAGATGATCTCCAGAAGTCCCTTCCAACCCTGACCATTTTGTGATTCTGTGATTCTGTAATTATTCACATTCAATTCTATGAGAACAGAAATGGAGATTTTCACAGCCTGGATACCAGAAGTCACATTTCTTAGGGATACTATGGATTCTCAGGCTATATATAACTGATACAGATAGCAGTTAACTCATCAAAAGAAGTCAAGAAGGCTGATGTGCTGCAGAGAGATAAACACCTGCAAAGTTCTGGCACAATCAACTGACCATTCAAATTGTTTCCAGCAATTTGGCTTTTAATTCAGACTTTGATCGCTGATAGTATTTTTCCTCCCTGCTTAGGTAAAGATCCTCTCTATCTTTCAATGCATAAAACCAAAACATCAATAAAGAAGAAAACACAATATAATTTGTCTTCCAGTTTTATATTTCTAGCAGCAATAAAGAGGCCAGAGAGGGTCCTCCCAATTATGCAAGAATACACGGGAATGGGAAGATGTGATTTATTCTCCAGTATTGCAAGCTCAGCAAGAGCCCCAAAATCCTTTGAGCTACTTAGCCAAAATCTGCTACCAAAGAACAAATTCTCAGATTCTGAGACTTTTCTGCTGCAAAACTAATGAACAGATTTTGCAGGAACATACGTGTAAGTCCTTTGTGAAAATGTCCTTTTTTCCTCTCCTTTAGTTATAGTAAGTTTGCTAAGAAAGTGGTAAAGATTTATTCACCTAATACTTTAAAATTAACCTCAATATGGGTTTAGAGATAAAAATCTTTTATGGAGACATATAAATGTTGTAGCTGTGGCTTTCTTCCTCCTGGATACCAATTTTGCTTCTTCACTCTCTAATAGTTTATTCAGAATGGTCAAAACCCCATTTTGCTGTCATCTTTCCCACAGAAAATGCAGCAAAATTGGCATTTAATGAATTATTACTGAAAACGCAGATTCCAGTGTAGAGGGTGTACTTAATGCTATGTCAAACTGTTCATTGTTTCATTTTGTTGTCTTAACCTGATATTTCTTCCTATTCTAACATACACCATCATAGTGAGATAGGGCTTTTCTCTTTTTTAGGCCTTCATAATCATACAATATTTACTCACTAAAATTGACTGAAATTTTGTCTGTGTTTATTTCTACAAACTGTAAACTGCAACATGAATGAAATATATTTAAAAAAACATGCAAAAATTAATAAAGTCACAAGCAAAGTCCAGGTGTCAAGTGCCCACACAAAACATTTGGTTAGCAAGTGTCCACTTTAAATTAAAATTCCCAGCACATGCACACTTATACACCAGGAAAAACCTTCAAACCCATTACAATTCTGTTAACTGGTAAGTAAAATACAGTAAGTCATTAAATCAGTTTCAGTCAAGTAGCTGCATATGGATTTCATGTTATATTTAAGATGCATGACAGGCCGAAGGTAAATTTAAAGACAGAAAGCATCAGGGCAACATCTTACAAGCATGAAGACTTTCTAAATGGATAACTTCTGTTTTACCACTCATACTTTGAAATATCATCTACTTGAAGGTATCTGAGCTTCTGCCAAAATATATGTACTAGCAATGTCTCCCGATATCTCAATTTATTGCAAATAAAATGAATAGATATGCATCCAAAGTTACTCATTAGGTTGCAGAGTAACAACAGTCTATGAAAACATGTGATTTTCATGGTGGGAGCAGATAAGTGATGATAGAGAGATCATGAACTTCCAGTGAAACTCTACAAATAGGTAGATTTTAAGCTGACTAGCAGTTTTTCAGCAAACATTTTTCTTTCGGTAGCTAGACAAATGTAAAAGCTTCTGCTTTTCCATAAATGGGTTAATCTCATTAAGGTTTCTGCAGCAGCAGCAACCATAAACCAGCTCTTTTCTTGCTAAAAAGTCAGCAGGGAAGCAATTCCATCCTTCACTGAGAGCCTCTCCTTGCGTTAAGCCGAGGCACGACATGGCAGACATGGTGATATATACTAATCCTTGCTTTAGCAGATATGTCATCGATGACAAAGTGTCCTTACTCCCATGTTTTATGCGGATTAATTTTTAATTAAGTTCTAATTAAAAGATAATTAAATTATTAGTAACCTGATGCCAAAATTATTTCAGGAGAAGGTTAGCTTTCAGTCCAGTTAGAAGGATTAATGTGGTCCGTAGGACCAGAACCTTACCTACAGGCTTTACGGGCTTTAACTCAACATGTTCCTGGGGGGGCTGTCGGTAGGAGTATGTGTCAAGTCCACCTATGAAATCAACTGAAAATACAACAGTTCCAGAAATGAACAAATGGAAATGAAAATATGCCAACTGAAAAAGAAATATGGACAAATTATGTTAAAAATAAAATAGTAAGCACATGCACAGGTTTGCGTACGAGAAATAAACAAGTAGGTAAAAATGCTGTGGAAGCTGCTTACAGAAGGCTCTGTGCTCTGTCTTCTTTGGGGTCCCTTTAGCCCTGTGCCTGGCAAGACAGGCTACCAGTTGGCTAACCAGACACGCGCAGTCCTGCCAGTGTGTGCACAAAAGGAGCACTCAAGGATCTGCAGAGTACGTAAACAGAAACCACTGCGGGGTGATGTAGCTGCTTCCCTTTAGGGCAATCTCAGCATATACTCCATAATTCATTTTCAATCTGTTTTTAGAAATGTAGGCAGTGGAAACAGTTTAGCTCACGAACCTAATTTCACCTAAACTTTTACAAACCAATGGAATCGCAGGGATGTAACACAACAAGGAAAACCACAGGGGTGTCCACTGAGATAAGAATCAACAGGTGAAAACTTAATTTAAAAAAAAAACCACAGCATCTTCTCTGGAGGAACTTGTGGGGACAGGAAGCCTTTGCAGAATCCTTCCACTTCCTCTCAAGATTTCTGTGTCAGAAATAATGTGGGGATATCTGCCCTTGATAATTTTTTAGTTCCTTCTACGGTCACCATGACTTTAAAATAAGACATTTGAGTCTGAGTTTGTATCTTGTTATTTTTGGTAAGATTTTAAGAAGCTTCAAGAAACCATATGTCCAAGCTACCCTAGAAATCTAAAAGCAGGTTGATGGAGAAACTTATTTTTCTATTGA